CCTGGCCCAGTGGTGTGGCGTGTAGCGTGTCAGACCAGGAGTCTTGTGACTCTTTAAACTTTTCTTCATTACAGGCAAACACTTTAACATCTCTGAGCCTCCATTTCCTCGCCTGCAGGACATAATAAAGATGCGGCCTGCTATTCCTCAAGAGTGGTGGGAAGACCATGTATTCATTCATTCATTTGCTTAACCAGACATTTATTGAGCATCTACTATGTTTCATGTTAGGTGTTGGTGTATGGGAAGAAACGCCACTCAGATGCAGGGCCATTGGGAAAGGATAGGCAGGCCCTGGGCTGGCCGGGAAACGTCCTCAGGGAAGAAAACAGGATACAAGCTGTACCCTCTAGTGTGTGTTTTCTCTCTGCTACCCTGAGTTTTGGAAAGGGAGGGTGTCATGAAGATATCTGGATGTGCTTGTGGCTGCTTCCTGGGGCCTGATGAGCAGCAGTATCCTGGCCTTCTGAGAAGAGATGGGGGTGGGGTGTCGCCGCGGCAGGGATCAGATCCAGCTGTCCTCCTAACTCCTTTCATAAAACACCCAGTTCCCCTGTGGGCAGGCCTTCTCAGGCTCTTTTCTAAGGCCCTTACAAGTCAAATATAGAAAACTTCTGGGTCTGGCTCTCTCCAAGGTGCCCGCCACGTCCAGGGCCCATCACATGCCTGCCTCTCCTGCTGCCCAGCCTGCCCTCTCTGTTCCAGCTCCATGCCTTCCTCTTCCATAGCTACCAGGCCTCCCTTGCTTCTCAGACGTCTGTCCTGAAGGAGTCAGCGGCCAGCACCATGGTCCCTCGCTCACCTGTGGTACCAAAGCCCCTTATCCTGACTTGATCCTGATTTTCCAGGTTATAACCTCCCCTCACCCCCCAGGACGTGATCTTCTCCACCCCTTTCATGGCTATGGCTCTGTTTTCCTTCACACCCTCATTCTCCCTCAGGCTGAAAGCATATCTGGCCTGTCTGGCTTGGACTCTGGGACCCTCTACTCATCACAACCCCTGCATGTGTGCTCCCCGGAAGCTCTTCCTGGACCCTTGCGTGGGACTCAGGTGTCAAGTCTTGGCCTAACCTGTTCCCTAAACCTGCCTATCATGTCAGAGTTTCCTCCTTTCCCTCTGTGTGTGACACATGTCTGCCTCCCCCGTTCACCTCCCCAGCCCTTCCAGATACTCCTGGGATCTAGCACCTACCCTTCACCTTCCCAACACCCTCCTAACGTGGAACCAAGGGCCACAGAGTCTCTCTTAGGCCTGGGTGACAGATTGAACACTCTCTGCCTCAGATATCACTTTGGGAGTAGGCTGAGTGCCCCTTGAAAGCTGGGCTAGGAGGACAGAGCTGGGAGATTCCTGGACAGGGCAGGCTTCCGGCTCCCATGGAGTCAGGCCAAGGGAGGGGAGGCGGCGAGCGCAGGAGTGGGGTCCACTGGAAACAGGCCTCTCTATAGACCATAAAGTGGGACATGAGACAGGGTTGTGCTGGTGGCCACTCGTGGTACCGTATTTCCCCA